CCTACACTCTTCGCCCCCAAAAGCCGAACACGTCGACCCCTAAACCACAGGCCCTGAACGCCTCAAGCCTTTAGGCCCCATCCCTCGCGTAATCGACGCCGGAGATTCGGTTTTGGCGTCGATTGCGCGATCTCCAAGCCAGCAGAGTGCACCAGGATGCCTGAAGCATCGGATTAGGGTTTAGGGTTTGAGGCCTTAGCTTCGTTGCAGTGCTCCAAGGCATCAGAGTTTAGAGAGGGTCTAGGAGTCCAGATGTCGGGCTGCTAAGCCTGAAACCCATGAAGGAGGGCTCTTTAAGAGGCCTTTCTGTGACTCCTGGGTTTCGGATATGGCCTTACACCAATTTTTTTCATCCGAAGTAGTCAGGCTCCCCCAAGACTGAACGGGAGAAGCATCCTGGTGCAAACCAATGACCAAAGCCTGCCATGGCTTCGGGCACGTTACGTTTAGGGTTTAGGGTTTGATTGTTTTTGTACGAGAACAAGATACTCAACACTTTTTCTAACTATTGAGACACCTATATTTATATTAAGATCCCTATGCTGACCCTTACCGTAACCCTAAATGTACATAAACCCTATAGACGCCCTTCAAAAAAAAACCTCAAAAGAACCCTACTCGATTCTGCATATTCAGCGAGCCGTGTTAATCATCAAACCAAACCACTCTAAAGCTATAGACTTTAAACCCCCTAACCCCTAAACCCTAAACGCTAAAACTCAAGTTTCAAAAGCCTTCCCCTTCCTCCCCCAAGGCCCCGTCCTTCATTTTAAACCTACAGACTGGAAACTCCATTGTTTCCCCTAACCCCTAAACCCTAAACCCCTAAACCGCTTATCCCTACATAGTTCAAGCTTCCAACAGACTTCCCTTTGTCTCTCCAAAGCCTCGTCCTTCATTCAGGTTGTTCACTGCATCGATGTAGGGCGTCAGGGCCCTGCCGTCGCAATCCTTCGTTCCCCGACGTTGCTGGGTTTAGGGTTGAGGGTTTAGGGTTTAGGGTTGAGGGATGCAAAAACAAAGCTTCTGAATACCTCAGACATGTTGCGCTTTGGGATTTGGGATGTGTAAGCTGTGGGGTTAACGGAAATGATAGTAACAGGCGGTTTGGGGTTTAGAGTTCCGGGTTTAAGGCTTAGTTTCAGGGTCCGGGGTTTGGCTTATGAAAGCCGGCGTGACCTGCGTCCAAAGTCACTGTAAACCTCATAGACCTTCGACTAGAAGCAAGGCGCAAACCCGAATCCAAATTGCCCTAAACCCTAAACCCTAAACCTTAAACCCTAAACCCGAAGCCTTAAACCCTAAAACCTAAACCCTAAACCTCTGTACTATGCACCCTTCGCCCCGAACAAGAAAGCCAGTTGAACACTCCCGCCCTGGCCCTCCACCGCGGAAAACCCCCAATTCCCTGAACCCTGCACCCCCAAAGCCACCAAACCTCTGTTTAGGGTTTAGGGTTTAGGGTTGAGGCTCTGAACCCGCCCCATGCCCTAAGTCCTTGTACAAGCCAACATTAACACAAGAAACTAGCAAAGGTTCCCATTCCGTCACTAATGGGCATGGGGCCCTCTGCGAAAACTGAAACACTGTAAACCCCCAAGCCCTCTCAGCCCTTCCACAACACGAACAAGTACCTACCAAGACCTTACGAGACCCTCTGAAACCCTCTAAAACCGTCTACGACCCTCTGAACCCTCTGAAAGCCTCTAAAACCGTCTCAGACCCTCTGAACCCTCTGAACCCTCTGAAACCCTCTGAAACCCTCTGAAACCCTCTAAGCACCACCCGAATCCCCAGGCTGGCAAGCATCGTTTTCGATCATCGCCCGGTCATCGCGATCGAAGTCGGAGCCAGTCCTAGGTGTCGATCTCAACAGCTACTTAGAAATCAGTTTAGGGTTGAGGGTTTAGGGTTATGTATAACTCGGGTTTAGGGTTTAGCGTTTAGGGTTATTTATACTTCGGGTTTAGGGTATTTAGGGTCCAGGGTTTAGGGTTTAGGCATCAAACAAGGAGGGAAAAATAAAAAACTATCCGGTAACTATGCCAGATCCATACCTGGAGTCCGATCCCGGAACTCGAAGACGCTTCCAAGTTGCAGGTAGCACGGCTCCTTGCGAAGGCTTTTTTTCGGGCGTGGGGCCTGCTAAAAAAGTTTCGTGCTTGGGGTTTTGGGGGTTTAGTTTTGGAGTTCGGGTAGGCTCTAGATACACCTGTAACCCAAATGAACAAGCCTTCCATGGGTCCTTAGCGGGCCTTTTAAAGGGGATCTACGCTGCCCTGCCCCGGCTCCGTCGCATCCCACGTGCAAGGCGGTGCGGCCCCGGCGAGCAGCCAAAGGGCCACCAAGAGGCCGCAGCGCTGCATGGCCCGAAAGCGCACAAATGAGAGTTTCAGTTACACCCTAAACCCTAGATCACATTTCAGAGGGGTTAGGGTTTAGGGTTCCTAAACCCTAGATCCCTAAACCCCATGACCCAAAACCCTGCTTCAAAATCCTAAACCCCGAAGTGACCGAGCGTATGTTGGAAGTGTCGGACGTCTGTCCTTGCTGGCCCCCCTTCGGGGATCTGGAGCCAGGCGGGAAATTAGACAAAAAACGAATGGTTTCATTGTGTATTTGCGTAATGCCATGTTTTGTGTGTCTTGATTGCGACTTTGTGTTGAAATGAATTACATAATGCGCCATACCCTTCGTGCCTTTGCCTCTGGTTGATGATCAACAAAGGCACAAGAGAACGAAGCTGTACACTTGGAAGCTTACGCTACCTTCATATTATGGGGATCCTCTGGGTGTAATGAGTGAACTTAGGTGAACGATTCCTAGTGTCGCTGACGTTTCGCTCACGTCTTGCATGCTTCCACTCCATTCAGGATTCTTTCGTTTCATCCTGGTTCCCTGTTGGGGCCATAGTACAAATGATTATTTTTAATCCTTATTAGGGTTCTATTATAACGAAAAGCGGTAAAGGCTGTTTTGGTGTTGGCCTTCGGAACATTGCGCCTGGCTGAGATGAGCCCTCAGCCACAAACCCTACGGCTCCCGAACCCTAAACCCTAAATAATCCTAAACCCTACATAACCCTAAATAACCCTAAATAACCTTAAATAACCTTAAATAACCTTAAATAACCCGAAATAACCTTACATAACCTTAAATAACCCTAAATAGCTCTAAATAACAGCCGCCCTGGACGAACATCAAAAAGCCGGAAGAAGGGCTTAGGCCCTCGTGAACTCCAAGCTCCAGGGCCTTCGGCTGTGGGAGTGTGAGGGTTTAGGGTTAGGGTTTAGGGTTCAGGGTTTAGGGGCTTAGGGTTTTAGGGTCTTGGGTTTAGGGTTTAGGGCTTTAGGGTTTAGGGTAAAAGGGAGTCTTGATAAGCTTTGGGAAATGCTCCCGAGCTTCGGGGTGTGGGACTCTCTCGGACATCATGTCCGGAAGCCCCAATACTCGGCTTTCAGGTCGCAGCTTCCCATACCCTTCGGGGGGTCTAGGGGTCTAGGCGGGTTCGGGGGCTTAGGGTTTAGGGTGTACTTAAAGGTTTAGGCTTTGGGAGCTTTGGGGGTTTAGGGCTTTCCCATACCAACCTGCGCTGCTTTTTGCCCCAGCAAAACGTACAGTCACTGCCCGCCCGCCGGCCGAACCTGCACCAGACACTTCGTGGCTTTAACATAGGGTCTGGGGTTGCATGGCTTCGGTCTCAGATTCAAAGTTTATTGCTTTGGGCTTTGGGCTCAAGCCCAAAGCCCAAAGCTCCCAGCCCCAATCCCACACACGAAGCCACCAGCTCCAATGACGCAACTCCCCAACATGAAGCTGCTGGGCTCTCTCCAGCCTCACTGAAGTTCCACGACGCACATGCAACTGCCCTCAACCTGAAACATTTAAAGTTTCTAAAGCCCTTAACATCGTGAAAGCCCCCCCTAAACCACAAGATCCAAACTGAAGCTCTGGAGCGCAAAAGTGTATTCCCGTATTTTTGAGGCTTTGGGCTTTCGGCCACGGGCGCAAAGCACGCGGTAGGGTCGAGGGCTTTGGCTTGTTTTGAATTGGGTTCAGCGGACTAGACCCCCCAGCGGAAGAGAGCTTTTCTTCCAGAGTCCACTGCGAGACTCTCTGGTTGAGGTGAAGCGCAAACAGCGCATGGCCGAGGTCAAACGTCAATACAGGGATCTGAACACTCAGCACCGACATCCCCTCGTGGTTCCTATCCAATCTTTTACTGTAACATGCCTCGCAACTCCTGTTGAAGTTACTCAGGCCCCTGTGTCATTGTCTTTTCTGCGGCCGTTCATGGCCCGAAGGTGGTTCATCGTCAAACTAGGCGGAGAGGCGGTGCTCCCCCACTGGACAGCCCAAAGCGCAAACCCTACACCCGGATCCAATGAAAAAGGCTCTGGAGGTGTAGTTTACTATACTCATTGCTAAGGAACTTCCCTAAACCCTAAACCAAAGGAATAGTAGCGGAAATCATTTAGGCTCCTGTATTCAGCTGCAGACTTCAGGGTTGGTTTGTGCCTTGGGGGATCATAGCCTTGACCTCCCGAAAGCATAGTCTCCAATCTTTCATCGGGGCTTTATCCGTAGAATAGAGAGTTCTGGGGTGTATGTTACGGTACATTATCCTCGGGAATATAACAAGTTACTGATAATCATTATTCAGACCCTTAGATTATTTCGACACCGGCTCATGCAAACCACAGCATGGCTTGGGCCTAAACTTAGGGTTTAGGGTTTGGGGCCTGGGGTGTAGGGTCGACGGGTGAACCCTGACCCTGAACTAAGCTTCAGGAGTTCGGTTACAAAGCTTTACGCTTCGAGCCTGAAGTTGCGTGCAAGGGTCCATTATCCGCAATTAGCCACTGGCGAAGGATCTGATCACTTCGTGACCGTGTCATCCCAGGGTCGATATTATAGCATATACATAATAAGGTACACTGAGGAATCATGTATTACAGCAGCTGCTATACTAACGGGCTAGGGACATTCGGCTGTCTACATTATGGGTTTAATCGCTGGAGCTTCGAATACTCCTCGCCGTCGAGGAGTTCACTCTTTGCCTCCTCCACATGGGTCTTCAAGAGTACCATGAAGACGATGGCAGCCGCCACGCGAGATATGTAGAAGCCTGTCGTAATCTCAGCAGTCCACAGCAGAAGCCACTGGGTGCCCTGCATCGAGAGCACTTCCCGCGACTTTTCGCTGGTCCTGTCCACTTGGATGCCAGACTCGGATAAATGAAACCACAAGTCACTCCAGGGCAGGGAATTATCCCAACCTCCCGACTTTTTCAGATCATCCAAGTATGCACCAGCGGCGCAGTTCAATCCTGCGAAGCTGAGAAAGCCCATGACATCCATGAGTAGGCGTAGGACATTTACCACGGCAATTACCACGTCCTTACTCCCTTTGAAGCCCCTACGCCGCCACTTCGGAATCATGCTCACGCAGCACAACACCACCCCTGCGAGGAACGCAGGCCGTGCGCCTTCCGAAAGCATAGCACGCACGGTCACGAAAGGCGTTTCAGAAGCCTGCAGTACCATGGCCATCGCGAGTCCTCCCGAGAGCCGTGCAATCGTAGCCGCAACAGCGAAGATCGTCATCTCGGCCGATCTTGACTGGAAGAGCTTGTAGCGCAGGTCCATGTCTTCCACAGCGTCTCTTTGCAGCCTCAACACATGGGCCTGGATGGAAGCTTCTGCGCCTTCATAAATGCCCATCACATTCGTGACCAGGGAGAAAAGGAAGGTGAAGAGGTCAAACGGGCACAGCATTGGTCGGTCATCTATATCATGAGCTGGCACTTTCAACAGGAAAAAGACAGCACATGTGACAATTGCACTTGCCTCGGTCAGTTCACTAGCTTTCCTCTTAATCAAATCATGTGCAGGGTTCGCAAGTCTCATGGAGCGGAATGCATCGGCAAATGCTGTCACCCCGAACAGGTCGCCTGTGTTCCCAAGCGCAACAACAAGCATGATGAATGCTCCAAAGAAGACTTGCCCCTTGAACAAGTACACCAAGCCCGACACGAAGTCTGAGACGACATCGATTGTCAAAGAGAGCACCATTTTCACAATGCCGAATCGAATCTCCGTGAGCCTCGTAAAGCCAGGTATGCTGATAAAGGGAGCCAACTTCAGCTTGCCATCCGACATTTCTGCAGTCTCGAACTTGCTGGGAGGAAGCTCTTCGGCGAAGAACAAGAATGCAGCAGCAGCCATGCTGATCCTTGGTCGCCCCAAAGCTTCCTGTAAGGTTTCAGGTTTAGGGTTTAGGTATGTTCAGGGGCTTCGAGCACAGTTTATGGCCTTTGGGGTTTCGGGCTGGAGAGCCAAGCTGAAACAGACCCTTGTATAGGCCCTCGAAAAGCCAAGCAACAGAGTGATGCCCATGCCAATCAACCAGCACTGTCCGGCTGTCAGCTGTACATTGTGTCGGAAAACAATGGCTTTCTGACAAGCTCGAAGCACATTCATCGGTTTGCTGATCTCCTCTGGCAACATGCCAAAGGCGCAAAGCTGATTCCACACGAAGTTGCCAAAGCGCTCCTCGCACCAGTTCGAGCAATTAGCTGCCCAAGCGGCCCGCACGATGTCGTAGGTATAAATGTTAAGGCATGCCTCGTTATACTCCCACTTGTTCGTCTGAACTTCTTGCGGCCGGTCTTCCACCACATACGGCTCAAGATCCACCCAGATCCAGCCGTCTCCATGGTATTGCGCGGAGTTGTTGTTGGTATGACCAGGTGGAACTTCAAGACCGCATGCATGTTTGTGAGAGGCCGCTGGAGACTCGAACCAATTAGCAGAGTTATTCGCCATGAAGCTGAAAGCACTGCAGAGGAACAACACAGATGCCGTGGATGCAAACCTGCATACGTTTCGCAATGTGGGCTTTGTGGATTCGTCGTCGTCGTTCCAGCCTGAATCGGCACACAGCAGCAGACATGATCAGTTCACGTGGGTTCTGTACGTTGTTGCCTTGCCGCTTGACAGCGACGAAAAGAACTGAAGAACATCACATATCTTCCAAGGCACCAAGCCCCCATCGTAGCCTATGAGCTTCGATGCAGGCGCTGCAGACAAGACAAACAGCAAAGGCCAGCAAGGTATACCTGTGGGGTTGGGGCTTAGGGTGTAAGGCTTCCGCTTCAGGAACTACCAAAAACGTTTAGCTAATTTAGTCGATACTTACATGCCTGGCGGGAGTTTGAGGTTCGGCTACAGACGGGACATCAAAGGCTCCAGAGGATAAGTTCTGGTAAAGAGACGGAAATGGCAGCCCCCAAGAAGAGGCAGGCACCGAAACAGGTAATGTAGGGGCCTAAAACTACTACCAAAACTATTTTGGGGGTTCCTTATTATGACTATAGTATAATGGGCCCCAAAACAATATTCTCTAATTCGCCTCGGCCCCGGCCGAAGCGGTCAGAGGTTCCTATTCGGATTCCCTCTATTCCCCACCTCTTAATCCCTTCC